AATGTATGTACCAAATTTGAACAAAATCCGTCCATGCATAACTGAGATCCGGGTCCGGAATGATGAAAATGTGCGATTTTGATGCATTTTCGGCCTTAAAATGGCCGCTATTCGGCTATCGTTAATCGGATCATGAAAAAAATGCATGTGCATATGTCCCATATAATGTGTGATGTATGAGTGAAGTTTGAACTTAATCGGTCCATGCATGTTCGGACGGACGAACGGACGGACGCACGCACACAGGGCAAAACATAAGTCCCCGTTTTCGGACTGCGTCCGAACAGGGACTAAATATGTTTTGGTCAATGTGCTGGTTGATTCTTTTTTCCACTAACTTTGTTGTCTTTTTTTTAACAAATTTATTGAACCTGTAAAATTTGTGCTCCGTCAAATACTTCAGCAAAAAAAAGAAAGCCAATAAAAAAAGGCCGCTAATTTCGAAACATTTTTCATGAGGGGAAACATACAACTCCGAAATAGTGAGATTCTATACTCTCCCATCAGTGTTTACTGTTACCATGGTTACATAGATCAGTGAAACAGGGGATGTGTTGACAGAAGACAATATAACAATATTTGACAAGATCTCGGCATCATTTGCATTTGATTATCATTAATACATATATATGCATTAATTTGACAGGGAAAACTAAATTTTCAAAATGATTTGTTTTTTCTGACAAAAGTTTGATTAAATTTAATCTGACTAAAATCTGATGTAGGTATAATTAGATTCCAATTTTTTTTTTTAATTTATATATTTTGTTTATAACTTTTTTTTGTGCAGTTAATTATTTTTTAGATCATCTCTCGATTGGCAGAATCAATAAAAATAAAGGGCGGGAACATCATGCCATGCATGTGCGACATTTGTGTTGATAAACATTGATTTTCCTAAAATCCAGTGCGCTTTTCTAATGAAATCACAAGTACAAATTATGTTCTGGGCTCCACTTGCACTAATTACCACCAGCAACTCCTTCGATACCTTTTAATCAACCAAAAAAATCAAATTAAAGCTTGGTGACTTCATAGTTTGTACTCGTTGGAGTGCGCAACAGTCAAAATCGCCATCTTTGTTTATATGAGACCCATATCTTGCGCATGTGTGGCGTGATGACCACTGCCCTTTAACAACCCTCAAATAATTTTTCCTTGCATTTTTCATGCACTTCTAATACTTAAAGCGTGGCGGCCGTCGCGCAGCGCGTGTTCGAATATTTCATGTAAATAAACAATGTATTTTACAAGTGTTGAATAAGTTGCTATGAGTCCCATATCGAACAGGACGCGGCATGACGACTGCCGCCCTTTAATAATACAAATACTTAAGGAAACCATTCAAGCAGCAAAATAATTGTAACGTCAAAAAATAATTAAAATAAATAATAATTATAGTAATTATATAAATAAAAAAACAAACAAAAATTAAGCCAACCAGAATCTTATTTTAATCAGATTGGTGTGTGTGTGTGTGTGTGTGTGTGTATGTATGTGTGTGTGTGTGTGTGTGTGTGTGTGTGTGTGTGTGTGGAAGGGTTGGGGTTACCCCCAATAACATTGACAAACCCTTTTTGAAGATGATGTGATCTTTGAAGCACATAAAGCAGCATACAATAGATCTTATATATCAATTACAACTTTATTTCAATACCAAATACATACATGCAACGTACAAACATATCCAAATAAATAAACACCTCATACAGAAATATATTATTACTAGATATACTTTGTAAATATCTGGCAACCAATTTGAACAACAGTGAGCACCAACAAACCGATAAGAAAACAACTACTGATAAAAAAAAGGTGTTTTACTTTTATTTTCACTTGCAATGTATCCTGGCTGGGTTCACCAGTTTATACTTCTGATCAACTTCTTGTTCCTAATCACATGTCTATATAAATTATACCATATTTGCTCTATTAGAAGCACATCTCTAATAAAACATACTCATGAACTAAAATATTCATTTTGTCATTGCAATATTAAATATTGTTGTTATAGATAAACTTGTGATTTATGTAAAGTGTATGCGAAACTAATGGAACAAATATGGTATTGTTAGTTATTTTGATACTTGTACATTCCGCACATTTATTTCACCAAACTGAAGTTCCAAGCTGGCAGGGAAGGCTTTGACTTTTGCAAAATTGTTTGCACCCGAATTGCCCTCGAGATATCAAAACAACAAAATTACAGTTTAGGGGATTCACACAATGAATGGAATGTGAAGTGTTGCAATGAATACAAAATTTAGTTTTATTGCATATTTCATTATAACGTCTAACACAGATCACATGCCCTAAAATACAGACTCTAAGCTTAGGTAGAAACTTCCCATACAATACTACTATTATTGAAATGGATTTCCACTGAACTGAAAGTCACATTTGTTGTATGGTGACTCCCATGGTGCATCTCACTTCTTACAAGCAAAACTTGCTTTAGTGACAAAAAAATACCACTAGTAATGAAACGTGAAAATGATGACATCACTTGTATTGAAACACAAAAGAAGATGACATCACTGAAACACAGAGCATCATTTTACTTGTATTGTAAAATAAAAAAATCAACTGAAAAAATCAAATGAATCTCAATGAATAACACTTGAGTCTTGTCTAATCCCTTAGCTGTTCATTTTAAAGTGATGCATCATGGGAATAACACAATATTTATTTAAAATAGATCTGCTTGTGGTCTGCAATGACATGTACACATTAACTGCTCTGACATTCACTTTCATATTTCTAGTTTGCTGTACAGAATTATTAAAAATTTAAGAACCTACCCTAATCATAAACAAACAGACTTATTCCAAAATAAATAAATCTAAACCTTGGAGAACACAGATCTTCAAACTTATTTTTGTTGCAGAAGACACAAAAATCAGACAAAAACCATGGCATATTTAACCTTTTCACCATCAGTTCCCCCTTTTCATTACAAAATTAACAAAATAGTCCTGTTTATAGTCTGCACTTTCTTTCAGAAGATTCGGACAAAAATAGCCAAATTTTCAGATTAAAAATTGAAAATTTACCCAAATTCTGCCTGTTGGCTCCAAAATTCGGATTAATTGTCAGAAATATTGAAAAATCTAGGAAAGAAAGTGGATTATAATTTGGGGGAGAAAGTTTTTTGATGAAAAGGTTAAGACTAGCCATGATCAAACACTGGAATAAGAACCAGGGATAATTCATCAATAAAAAATAAAACACAAATACCTATAAAATACTTATCCGAAACGTACATGCTTCAATCATAAAAAATCTTACTGCAAATTGATTGATTTGAAATATCACACCATGGTAGACTTGAACAATATATACAAACAATCTGTTTAAATAAATACATTATATAAATATATAGAGATATAAAAAGTCAAAGTCACAACATTTGATAGATAAATATCATATAAGGAATAAATAATCTGGACAGACTCCTGATTGATAGAACTGAAAGAGAATTGAATCCCAGAATATGAAATTTAATAAAAAAAAAATCAATAAAAAACACAGATGCATATGAATCTTATCACATTAAAAAGATTTGCATTGATATCATAAAATATGTAATATTTAATCCAATTGTATTCAGCAGCGTGAGATCAGACTATAAAATTGGTTTTGTCTTGTTTTGGCGAGTGGCCCAAGGAAGGGAAATAAAAATGGCTGCCATTCAGCCATCTTGAAGTTGACCGTCAAACAAATATATGTGCACATTTGTGACATGATGTAGATATAATGTTTGAACAAGACATGTCAGAGTTATGGTTCAGAACAGCATTTGTTAAAAAACATGTCTGTCAGTCGGCCATTTTAAAAGCTCATCTGAAAAACAAAATGACATGCATCAATGTATTATCATGTTAAAATGTATGTGCAAAGTCTCACAATACACGACTGCCATCCAGATCCAGAATGGCAGAAATGTTTGATCTTGATGAATTTCAACATTAAAATGGCCGCCATTCAGCCATCTTGAATCTGACTGTCAAACAAATATACATCCATATGTGAAACATGATATATGATGTATCTATAAATTTTTAACATGATTGATCAAGGAATGTCAAAGATATGGCCCCGGAACAGCATTTGTTGAAACAAAATGGCCCCTAGACAAACAAGAATGGAAAATAAAGTTCAAATTATTTTCGAGTATTTTACTGGTTGGAATACCTTAGCTAAATATTCAAATTGTAGGATAAAATAAAAATGGCTCTGCAAACTCTTATTACCGATGATCAAAGAAGACATCCCCCAAACTAATTAATACAGAGCAGCATTTTCATGATTCCTCATGTGCATTACTTGTATATTCACTGGAGGATCTTCTGATCCGTCTGCACTTGCACGTAATTTCTCTCGCCTGCGAGCTTCTTTTTTCTTTTCCTTGCTTATGATCCTCAATCCTTTATCAAGTTCCTTTTGTCTTTCTCGCTCAGCGAGTATTTTACGACGCCGTTCTTGCTCTTCTTGTATTTTCATATTTATTTTGCCTGTTTTTTCAACTTTGGCGTAGACGGCGTCTTTCTGTATGGGCCTGGGTGTTGGTGATGTGTCAATGTATTCGTATTGATGTGATATACTGGATGGTGTAGGTGAGTTGTCATCTCTGGACGCAGACATCGCTTGCCTTGCTGCACTTCCATTCTCTTCTGAAACTAAGAAAGAAAACGATATCAATCCACAGACATCAAGTAATGTAAAGGAGAATGTTTGAATGTGGACATCATTGAGGATAGAGGTTTGTGAACTTCAAACTCAATATACTCTATGCATGAGCATGTAATTATTACACTCAAACATTCTGATTCTGTGATGTCACGTCCACACACTCTGCATATCATGTATTACTATCTTTCATTAAATTAATACTACAAGCAGGAACAAAAATGTATAATAACAAACCATACATGGCACAGTCCCTGTTAGTTATAATCAAATCTAAGATTTTCACTTTTTAAATTTCACTGATTTAGCATTTCAGGTATATTCAGTGGGTTTTAAATTCATGGTTTGATTATTTTGAAAATATGTCCTATGCTAAATTTGACATATTCACTGGGTTTTAATTTAGCACATTTTCCAGTCAGCAAAAAAAGCAAAATTAGAACCCAGTGAATAATTAACCCTTTTACAGTAATAGATTTGTTTATAGTAATATAGTAGGAACATAAACATGTCAGAGACATGGATCCAGAAGCTGATTTTTTAACATTAAAATGTTTGACAATCAGTCATCTTGTGATATTATTAAAGTACTTGTCCGTATTGAAAGATATTGCTACGGTTCAATCCATAAGTCGCAGTCAGAAAAATAGCACAAAATATGTACCGGTACTGTAACAGTACAGGAAATCATTGATGCATGTGATCACTGTACTGCCTTTGTGCATAGTTTGCGGTATCCTTGCAATAACCTTGTACGATTGGATTTCTAAGATGATATGAATACACTGTTTTGAGGATTGATGTAGTTTAAACATTATTATGCTACTCCATGGCTACTAGTATTTGAAAGGTAACTTGAATTACTTTTTGTATTATGACCCTTACTGTTGTATGTACTTTGATCAATTTCAATTTTAATTGCAACTGCCTACCGGAATGCTACAGAGAAATTACATATTACTTCCATAGAAACAAGTTTGGGAACCTTGACTTTTTATTTGCTTCTTGACATTCAACAAAGTACTGTAAACGCATTGATTATTTGCTGATTTTTAACTAGTAGAGTAAGATGCTCTAAATTGAATCCACATGAACATGGAAATAACAGTATAACTCATTGTTTCCTTACCACGCCTATGAAGTGAAATTGCTTGAAACAATAAAATAATGAATTTAAATGGGTTTACAGTACATGTATCAACACTGAGTGGGCAGAGATGTATATAACAGCGTCCGGATTACTTTCGGAAATTCCGTCGCGTTTCGGAAAGTTTTAATTTTCAAAACTTTTGAATATTTATTTGTGCTTTTAGGTTAGTGAGGAGGTTATAATAATTTTTCATTTCACTTTAACTCTGTTTTTTACACCCCTCAGACCCCTTTAAAAAGTCATTATGGCCATTATTCTGGCCATTATAATGGCCAATATTTTCTTAATGACCAGAATATTGACCAGAATTTTTTAAGTGGCCAAAATATTTACCAGTGTTTTTAAAATGGTGGTTTTAATGACCCATGTTTTTTATACTGGTCAGAATAATTACATATTATCCATTTTTCAATACAAATTACAGACTTTGAAAACCTTTCTAAGAATAAAAAGTTTTAATATTACAATAATTAAAGACATATCCTGATCAGATAGGTAATTACTTATAATTTAATTTTAATAGTAAATCTTGTCTTTTTTGTCTTTTGTTCCACTTTTATATACTTCATAACTTCAACTCAAGGTGTATTATCATAATTCATAATAGTGAAATAAAGATATTATTATTATTGTATCAAAATCTGAGGGATTATATACCTTTTTCAGTCACATTCCTAAAACAGTGGAAAAAAAAACACAACAGATTTCTATACCTTCAGTAATAGTCTCATTTCTGAGATCATGAGATACTGCAGTTATTGGTGTACTGACAGGAGCAACTTCACTGGTACTAGTTTGGCTGGTCAATATCACACCAGATGTTTCTGGTCTGGAAGAAAAAAAAAACATAAATCAAATAACAATATATTGGTGACAGTGACTTTGCACCCAACAGATATGAGATGAGATGATCACTGATCACAAAATAATAAATAAATGTTTTGTGGAATCAAGGCATAACAAATCAGAGAAGTGAGAATGACCATGTCCACTCCAGCCTAGAATCTACCGGTATGAAACATTACACTCGCTATAATGCCTGGATACAATGCTCGTAATATCCCTTAACAGTCAACATTGATTTAAAGCGAGAGAGTCGTCACCTGCGCACGCGTGGAAATTGAGTCCCAAGCGACGATAACAATTTTAACACACGCTAAAAACGCAAAGGCTCATGGGTGGAAGCTTGTTTGTAAATAATGACACGCTATGGCCATCTGACGCATCCGCAGGTGACGACTCCCCTGCTTTAAAATACTCAACATTATTAAAAAAAATTCTTCTCTGGTCAATGAACAGAGTACTGTGGAATACTTTATTTTCGCTTGGAATTTATTTTCGCTATTTTCGCTGAAGGGATGTTTCCGTGAAAATAAAATCCAGCGAATATACTTTTTTTCCTATACTTCACATTGAACTCATCAAAAATCAGTGAAAATAAATTCCACACAAAACACCCAAAAAGCCTTTTCAGTGAAAATTAATTCCAGCGAAAATAAAGTATTCCACAGTATATTATTTCTTAAATGCTTAAATGTATGATATCCAATAGGGTGAGTGCCATTTGCATAAATCTGAATGAGATATTACTAGCATTGTAGCTAGGCAATAATTAAGTGGCATATAGTGAGTGGAACACTGCATAGATTCTGGGCTATGTTAATATAGTCAACTGTGATGATGTCGAGTCCATTCATACTATACTCAGGAATGAAGTAGACTTGTGTGCATGCATAGACCCAATACAAAATTTAGAACCACAATACAATACTGTGAAATACGAACCACAAAAATAAACAACAATTTTGCACTGTTTTTGTCATTTCTATAAATCAGGTATTCATGGTGATGGAGATTAAAATGATGAATGCATCTATACATATAATAACCACAGTGCAGTACACCTATCAAGTGTTTGGACTTACATTCCCCATCTCCTGAGGGGAGCTTTACCTCGTCTGCTGGCGCAGATATAAAGAAAGATGAATAATTGTTAGTTGCAAAACACTTCAATTACTTACACTAAGTTTTCTTACTTTACGAGGGTCAACTGGCTGGCAGTAGAAAGACCTACTACGGTAAGTCCAACTTAGACAAACATCTAACTTAAACAAATAGTCAGTGGTAGTAATTGGTGTGTGTTGTGATGCCATAAACCAGAGTGATGTAATGTAATAAAAGGGTATATTCAAGACAAACATACAGTACAGTTTGGACCTAACTTAGGCTCATATTGAAAGTGTCAAAACTAAGAATTAGTCATGTGAGTAAAAGGATACCATATTTGCTCTTAGACTACTGTGATATACTTTATTTTAGACATTTGGGGTGTTTTGTATTGAATTTATTTTCACTGTTTTTTGACGAGTTGAATGTAAAATATGGGAAAAAATATATATTCGCTGGATTTTATTTTCACTGAATCATTTCTTCAGCGAAAATGAATTCCAAGCGAAAATAAAGTATTTTACAGTAATAGAAATGAATATTAATTAGAAGCGCACTAAAACCAAAAAATATATTTTTTTTTTGCTGGAACATTGAAATATTTGACAATCATTTGTACCAGAGGTACATTACTTGGGGTTTGCAACGCGCATAGTACTGTATGGTGACATCATGCCAAGATCCCATTCAAGTCTCATCTCGTAGATAGCGAGACTGATGCTACGATCTTCTGACATGACATTCATAGTGAAAAAATGTAATAAATTGAAAATGTATAGAAAATATAGTTATCGTAATCCGTCATGTCATGAGCAGCTATTTTGATCCACCTGGACATTCCAGTATCCTAGTTACCTCGGGCATGCGCATTCGAATTTTTTTTGGAGTTGGAACGCTTATCATGTCACCGTAGTTGCAAACCCCAAGTAATGTACCTCTGTTTGTACTTATAAATTATAGGTACCGGGTAAGTGTATACTCTACTTATAGTGCTACTATGGCACACTTTATATACATATCAAACCCTGGAAACAAAAAGTAATTATTTCCCCAATTGACAGCATTCAATAAGAAATCTGTGTGCATGTGAATTTAGACAACTTACTTTTTAAACATGACATCAGAGGTCATTGCACGGACATTGAATTTGCCTCGTTTTGATCGTTTCTGACCTGCAGCACCACTAAAGTCGTACATTCCATCAGTACCGTCATCTGGATGGTAATTATCATTTGACGCAAATGAAATATTATAGACCCCTTGTTTTGTAGCTGACCCACTGGCGCCTTCCTCGTACAGGTTACTGTTGATATATAATAATGAGTTGTGATTTCTACTTTAAGTGTGTATTTTGATTAATTTTTTGTAATTTTTTTTCTCATATTGTTGTGCGTATTTTTATTTAATTACACTTTTATTTAATTTTTTTTCTCTGTTTCATGGTTTTAGTGACCTTACTGCTGTACTTTCCTAAGTCAGTGTTGTGTCAATAAATATTATTTATTTATTCTACGACCAAAAGAAAATGTTCAAATACGATATCAATAATCATGATTGCATCAATGTTAGTGATGTAATTTATTCCAAATATGGGCATGTTCAAATAGGTGCAGATAAGTTTTGGAAGGAATACAAATACTACTTTTTATAGAACCATAAGTTCAGATAGTCAGATGTCAGATGTCAGATAAGATAAGATGTTGTTTGTATTCAATATATGAATGGATTTTTCTTTGTTTGTACAGTGTTGAAAATTTTTAATTTTCTTTGAAAAATTTGAATATAACAACTCTCTTTCATCTGTGTAAAGTTTACATTTTGTGATGTAATGAATTTCATTCTCAAGTAGGTTGCATTTAGTACAAGATAGTAATTGTAACTCACTCTGATGCAATCCATATATTTGAATTCTTCCTTGCATACAGCTGTTCATCTTTTGGTGATCTATAACTTCTGCATAATATCACAGCTAACAGTAGCAATAGTAATGCTACTGCCAACATAGCGCCGATAATAGCTCCCAGGGTGCTGGCACTCATGGAGGAATCGTCACTCAGAGACTGGTTGCCTGACGGATCAAATAAATCTATGAATACAAATAAAGAACAATCATGTCATATCAAAATGTAAACAGGAACAAATAAAGCTACTAAGGTTACATTTATTGAGCATATAACATATTATTATACATCTGTCACCGTAATGTCATAAGTTAAAGCGTGCCGTAATTTTACGGTATTTTACAAGGTATTTTCATCCTACCATATAAGGAAATGTGAATTCCAAATATGGAATGATTACGCGAGTAAAAGTTTTTAAACTTTTTGGATTATGGCATTCCCATGATGTATCCTTGGTAGGAAAAGATGTATAATATTAAGGTTATTACGAGGAGACTGCACGTATGCAATCAGACAGTACGCCGTTGCCTTGACCTCCGCTGCGCGTCTGTTGATACTCCCGCATTCTTTTCGGTATCCTCGTAATAACCTCAGGAACTTGTATATGAGATAAAGCATGAAGATGAATAAAGCGAGAGAAATGAATGTTATAGTGATGAAGTATATGCCATGTAGACTCCTTGATAAATAATGATATAAACTTCAGACAAACAAAGATACATCAGACTACTAAACTATGTTTATATTGATGCAGGTTTCAGCATATGAACACTTTTTTTTTGGAAAATTAAAGTCTTTTTTGAAAAGATGTCAAAGCTCATTAAATTCAAACTCTGTCAGATAGCAGGACACTATTTCATGCTTAGTAATAATTTATAAGATAACAGCGGAAATGACAATGAAGAAACTTTGCTGTTTGATCGTTTGTGTTTAGTGACAGGATTCTATTTCTATCATGTGCTTATACATCTGAGGAAAGTGTTTGATTATGACATAATGTGACATATATTTTGAAATTCCTTAATATATTTTTTAGACATTTTTATCAAAGGGCTATGGTCGATGTACTATGTCCAGTTTGATATGGAGCCCATGGGCTGCTGAAATGAATAGGAAAACAACAGGGTCACCGAGCAATGGTGTTGAGACCTCTGTAGATAAAAATGCATATTAAGAGGCATTTTAAGGTCTTCAAAATGAAAATTAAAAATAAGACATTTTAAGGTGCTATATAAACTTGTATTTATTATTATTATTATTATTAAGAATCTGACAGAACCTGCTATTATATTTGACATACCTGCTTCTGTTTTGACCAGCACTTCCTCTGTGTAAGGTCCGATTCCACCACTTGTGTAATATGCAATCTTAATAAAATACTCTGTGTCTGTATCTAAATCTTGTAGGACATAACTAGTGATACTGGATGATGATAGCTGTACAGAGGTGAAGGTATCATTACCAGCTGCTCTATAGGATACTACATACCCAGATATCAAAGACGAATCAATGTTGTCAACCTGTAAAATAAATCAAAAATAAAAGCATGCACCTGCAAACTAGTAAATTGCACCCTCTAGTGACAAAGCCTTTTCATGATATAAATGAGTGACACAAGGGACTTGAAAATTTTGTTTTTGAAAGATTTTAATATATTTCAGATGATGAATGACTATTCATCAAAACACAGCCAGTTTGGAAGACATTGCCTTCACCTATAAACATCATTTTGACTTACGTGCCACTAGAGGGTGCATAAACGTCACTAGAGGGCGCAATTTATAGGAATGTTGTATTATGTATGTCATCATACCAAATTTGATTGAAATCAACCAACTCATTTCTGAGAACTGCATGATTGCATAGATATTCATAGATTAGGATTTAGATCTATTTGAAATCCAAAATGGCCACCCAGCTGCCATATTTATTCACTGTCAAATTTAATTCGAATTTAAATTAAATTCAGTGTTCAATAAGCTTCAAATTCCAGTATTTTCGAGCCCTGAAGATTCACAATGTTAATGGAAATAAACAAGAAATCATTTGATTCATGAAACTACATTTAATATTTTGTACATCAACAAAGAGAAAATCATGTCAAACTGACAGGTATCAAGGCGATCTTAGAAAGTAATTGTAGACATACCTGCCAGGTGAGAAGGACAGAGCTGGTTCCCTTTGCAGTGATTTGGAGATTGTCAACAGCTTTCAAAGGTGCTGTGGGAAGGAGAAAATAATGTACCATTTTAATAAAGACACCTAATAATACAGAGACAGGCAACTGCATCTCTGTATTGCATTCTATTACGTCACCATTCGTAATTGCCATATCACACTACAAGAACTGTAAAATACTTCTTGGATGTTTTGTATGAAATTTATTTCCACTGATTTTTGATAAGTTGAATGTAAAATATATAAAAAAAGGTATATTCGCTGGATCTTATTTTATTTTCACTGAATAGAAATTAAATTATTTTACAGTAGTTTAATTTAACTTGTTATTTTAGAACATGCTTTATCAAATATGCCACAACAGTGAATAGTTTAGATACTACTGTTCATATACTGGGTGATTTGGTGAAATTTGATTGATAAAAAAAAAATTATATATCGATTACTTGCAATTGTACAAGTTAAAAAAAAAATGCCAACACCAAGCTGTTTAATAACCCGTTTCCGAACACAAGATGTATCAATTTTTTACAAAACCAACTAGTGTACATCCTACAGCTCATACTGTGTAGTGTTGGGAGGTTTTTGTTTCTAAATTTGCCCATTGAAAAATGTAATTAAAAATTCCTTAAATTTGTGTGTATGTAATTGTAACTTTTCTAAAGGTATTCAAACTTAATCATATTCAACATTTAAAATCACATTTGAACCCCAAGAGATATTACATGTTGTTTTTGATTACACAAAAATGTTTGTATTCATAACACTTTTTACATTACACT